TTAACTCTGTAATACTTTAGTTTATACATCACGGTTATATATCATTAATACCCAATAGGTAGTTGGATGTGTGCTTTCCGCCTTACTTCCTGTTCCTTGTTTGGTTATGGGCTTAGGGAAGATTCACCCAATTAACTCTCTATCCGATATTAGATCATATATAGCCAGTATAAACTAAGTGATTATAGAAGTAATCACTGTGATCACCATTTTATTATAAGAAATAAGGGTTTTCTTAAGGAATCTTTTCATTAAATATAAAGGAACCATTATAATTAACTCCATGAGTAACAAGTGAACACGCCAGAGTTATATACAACAATGATCTAACAAACAATGGGATGTGTGCTATCCGCCTTACTCCCTGTTCCTTGTTTGGTTGTGAGTTTAGGGCAGATGCGCACAGTCGATTGTTTGTTTACTCTGAGTTTTATATCACTTGTATTCATTTAGTACTCATAGAAAGGATTGTAGAATCAATTTTATGTATCTTTCATCAAAGTAGGAAATATAGGATTTTCTAAGAGGAACATGCGAACTTTTCTAAACAGAACTTACAACTCACTACATTTTTCAACTACATTTTCAACAGCATTTTACCACAACATTTTACAACTTACTTACATCACTAAAATCTTATGAACTCACCAACTTAATTGCTGATCAACTCTTTCAAATAACTTGTATTCTCAAACGCCTAGTAGACAGGTACTCGTGCTGGGATTCAGAAGATGGAGCAGTATAGCTTCAAGTCTTGTTTGTTATTTACTTATGTATTCTATGTTTCGTGAACACACACCTTGTAAACACTTTCTTTCTAATGAAATGGTTGTTCATTACTTTGCTTACTATAATGCATATCTTGTGATACTAAACATAACGTCCTCCACCCCCGAACGTTTCCGTCGTTCCGGTTTTGGGGTGTGACAATCCTTCACACAATGCAGCTATGGAGGTTAAGGTTAATTGGTACTAATTTGAGTAAATTCTTTCGGTTGTAACCTTGCACTTAGTTTTCTTGAAGTCCTACACATCAGAACAGCAAAATACCTTTCCCGACAAGGGAAATCGTCATCAACGAAAATTAAAATTTAAAAATCAAACAAAAAAATAACTTTCCCTTCATAAAAGATCAATTGATCGATAATTAGATACAACAATATTAGTTGAAATCTATTCCCCGATGATGGCGCCAAAAATTTGATGTGTAAAAGATAGTCTATAAACTTGAGATAACTTGAAAACTATTCCATCTGATAATGACGTCCAAAAACTTATGACATAAAAGATATAGACTTGGAAATATAAATCTAGTTTTACATTTATAATTCCTAACCAACCAAACTGACTATCTACAACAGGCAGTGAACCTGGTCAATGACAACATAGCTCAGGTAAAAGTAAAGGTGTCGAACATATGGGGAACAAAAGTGTACTAACATATCAGTATCTTCTTATCAATCAATCTTAAAAGAAAGAAATTATAAGGGAATTACATAGTGTCACTAGTATAATCATATAAATAATCAAACAAACATAACAACTAATCTTATCAGCCATATGAATAAACAAATAACAACCATGACTAACTGTATAGATAACATAATTTGAAGGTAATAATATTTGTAAAATCCGTCATAGTTCAATTAATTAATCTCCTTATAACGATATTGGTAAGTTATTCACCGATCCCCTAAATTGATTAGATCGGATGGTAAGTAACTAGTCCTATGATTTTAAGTTATCTACCAACAAGGGTAGCTCCCCTAGACTCAGTCTATTCATTCCTATTATGTAATGACTTAATTGGGATGATCAATCCCAATGTTAATGGCAACTTCTCAAATTGTTCAAACTATCATATTAATCACAAACATTAACTCAATCTTATTATGTTTAACATAGGAATACAATTGGCCTCTAATCTTACTGTCTTCCTTATTAATGGAGTTTTAGGCCACTAATGTTAGCAAAGCAACATGATACAAGATACATAATCCTAACATCATATCATTCTACTTATCAATTCAACTAGACTCTCTCCGAGAGGATCTTCTCTAGTTGACCAGTCCCCGACCATTTTCTTCAAGAGGATTTTCATGGTCTAACATCCTCATGTCACGTAGTCCATATAATAAGAGAGTTCGTGAAAACTTACCTGAATATCTGATAAGATATATCCATACAACGAGATATGTGACATCGAAACTTCCTCGAACAACTACATAATTGTATAACCTTAACTTAGAGATTAAGGTATAATACTTAATTTTCCTTTCTTTTAGAGTCTTTTCTTCCGTAATTCGACATCTTAGGGCAAAAGACCATTTTCCCTTTCCATTCATGGTCCGAGACTCAAATGCAACAAAGTCGACCAAAAGACAAACTAGTCAACAGTCAACACATCGCGACCCAGCTACTAGTCGCGCCGCGGTCATGCCATTACAAAACGGTCATGAATGTCATTCATTTCTCGTGTCACGACCTTTCCCAAGCCGCATCACGGTTCCCCTGGTGGAACTCTTAATTCATTAAACACTTAATCTCTAAAGATCAAGGCTTATATCTTCGGATATGATTCTTTCTAGTGACTTAATGGATAAAGTTTACAACTTTATCCATTCAAAGGCTAGATCTATCCTAATCTACAACCCTAACTTGATTAAGTCCATTTAATCTTATAATCTTGTGAATAGTTGCAAAAGAACCTAAGCACACTCATCTTTCTTCTTCCTAAAGTCCATAAACATACCCATTTGCCACCCAAAGTTTTGGAGTTGCTCAAACTCCAAGAACATAAGGTCAAAATGACCAAAAATGACTAAAAACCAAGATGGATCCTAGATCTATGCATAAAACCTAATAAAGCAGTAAACTTTGTCACTTACAATGCAAGGGAAAAGACTAGAAGGTGGATTCTTCATTGGACAACAATCCTTCAAGCTTCCCTAGCTTCCTTTCCTCTTCAAAAACCTCACAATCACCTCAAAACTCTCTCACAAGCACATAAGGCTAGGGTTTCGTCTAAGGAGAAAGAGGCTGAAGATTCCGAGAAACCCTAAAAGTTAGCACCATTATATATGACTTAAGGCCCGAGTTTTAGGGTTGTGGGTTGTAGCGGCCACCACGCCGCTACTTAATGACGTGACACGCACCGCGACCCAATCAAAACCCCAAATCAAAACTTAGACAAACCAACCATAATTAACTCATACATGCAAAATGGGTGTTAGAAATGTTTATCAAAACATATTACATATTGGAGATAAAGAGAAAGAGATGTAATTGTTTGATGTTATAAAAATGAATGGTGAAAGAGTTATATGGAAACTTAAAAACCAACACAACTCCTCCCACCTTATTGGTTGTAGGAAATAGTTGTTGCAAAGTGGACTATTTAAAATGAAAAGAGACTAGTAAATAGTTGTTGCAAAGTGGACTATTAAAATGAAAAGAGACGTAGTTGTGCAAAGTGGCTTTTTTTTTACAAAAATCTAGCTTTAGGGGTCATGATTTTAAGGCGTTTGACCGGTATGGTTGAACTTGTTTTTTTGCAAACCGGCCGTTTTTTACTAGTTCGACCTAACTCACCACAAGTATTTTTGACTTTTTTGTTTTTATCAACTTCACTTAATTAAGAAACTATGTGCTTTTCTATTTAGATTCGCTAGTTGGTCCAACTATAATAGAAGTTTAAGGTTCAACTCAGTTGAGGCAGCAAGTGAAAGGAGAGTTATTTTGCTGAAGTAAATAAAGTTAGTCAAACTAAAGTTGTCTAACAAAAATATGATCCATTATGAAGATGCTATTATAGTATTATGGATTTAATAACATTGTTTTCTACAGTCAAAACGGAAAAATTATAGATTTATTATATCAAAACTTCGACTTGGGTAAAATGTGTTTGTCGTTGGTCAAACTGATGGCTAAAGTTGAAAAACTTGTTTTGTCACATTGATGATCGAATATATGATTACAGTAGATCTTACATAAAAGAGGTTACCTATTTATTTTGAGAATGTTCACATTTTTTTTAAAATAATAATAATAATAGCAAATAATAAAAACAAGATCTAAGAGATGAAGATGTACAAAACAAAGTGTTTTCCATTTAGACCTTACATGCCCTTTAGGTATGTTTGGTTTAAATTTTGTTACTGATTCACAATTTTCAAATGTATGAGAATCACCCAAATCTAACGAGAGCATTTGCAATGTTTAAAAAATTTGCTGACTTTTTATATAATATTAATGTCAACTAAAAATGTAAAAACCTCAGATAAATAAATATCTATTTGACAGGAGTACAAGATTGTTAACAAATTTATTAACTAATAAGCTCTATCAGAAAAATATATATAAAAAACGTTTATATAGGATCAGAGGCTATAACCAGTTTTTCACACGGATAAGAAGAGTTGGTCCGACTAGTATATGTTAAAAAAATAGCTAGATTCTAGTGGGTCAAAGGATTATGGTAATAGTCGCCTTTTTTTAATCTTCTCTTTTAAACCGTGTTAGTTTGTTAGTATCATATAAAATAGTAAGTCCGAGTTATCAAAGTTGGTGAACATTTGTCATATTCTTGAAGTTGAAAGCATGCATGGATCAAGTCATATAAATAAACCCATCACAGATTCTGTTATTAAAAAACCGATACAGAATTCAGGAAAAAACAATAACTTAGCACTGAAAGTTACATAACCAAACTAAAGAAAAATAAAAAACATGTGGATGTGGTAATAATATAACTTTTCGCATAAGTATATTGTACATCATACCATAATATGACATATAATCAAAATTGAGAGGGAGATGAAATCTTAAATATGAATGATCTTCAATCACGATCTTGATTGTCTGCTCTAATGTTCATAATCTGTGAGACAACGATCTTGGAAAGCTCACTAATTGCTGCTTGATAATCATCCGTTTCCCTTGGCACTGACCCATACTTCTGATTGTGAGCTGCTCAAACCACTATACTCACTTGCTGCAACCCTTGTCTTCTTTGTTGTAAGCACCACCTTCTCCAAATCCGCTTGTGATAATGCCCTTGGCCCCTATAATACAATTTCTCAATTAACATCAACAAAACACACTTGTAGTTGTATTCAGACAAAGAGAAAAGGAATGAAATCATGAATACTAACATTTGTTTTAATTCCTTTCTTCTCATCATCTAGAAGATCCCTGATGGGGAAAATACGCTGCTTGTTTGCAGAGCTCTAGAAGATCTGAACCGGTGTATCCTTCACACAATGCAGCTATGGAGTCGAGGTTAATTTGGTCATCTACTCTTTCACCTTTCAAAACCACCTTCAATATCTGAGCCCTTTCTTTGCGATCAGGTATCCCAATCTCAAATGCCTGTGGAAGTCGTCTCAGTATTGCTTCATCCAGCTCAGAAGGCCGGTTTGTTGCAGCAAGAACCATCACTCTAGCATTATCTACATAAATTAAATATTATTAAACCATTTATAATATTAAAATAGGCTTTTTAATTACTATATCCAAGTTTTGAAAAGAAAACTTACGATCTGTAGTGAAACCATCCCATAAAGCCATAAACTCGGTCTTCATATTGGTCAACGCCTCGTGGTCTGTAGTCCGGCGTTGACCAAGAAAACTATCCACCTCATCGATAAATATTATAGCAGGCTGGAGTTTGTAAGCCAAACTAAACACAGCAGCAACTGCAAAACAAAAAAAGAAAAACCAAATTTGATTAATACAAAAGATTTTGTTTTTCTAAATAAGAAAAAAAAACATCAGAAAACTGACCGAGTTTTTGTGCATCTCCAAACCATTTGCTCATGAGATCTGATATTCTGACATTGATGAAAACAGCACCAGATTCTTTAGCAATAGCTTTTGCAAGCATGGTTTTCCCAGTACCTGGTGGGCCATATAAAAGAACGCCTTTTTGAGGGCCAAGGAGCCTTCCATAGGAAAAAAGCTCAGGCCTACGTAGAGGTAATATCACCAATTCATAAAGTGATTGTTTGATGGTTTCCAGCCCTCCAATGGAGTCAAATTCAACCCCAATGTGATCAGGGTTTATCACGTTGCATGCAATCACATCCTGTTATTAGCAAACAATG